CACAAAACATGAGCAATAAATGGGGTCTGAGCACACTCAGATGAATCTGACAGGGCCATTCCATGATGAGAAGGAAGGAATATGGGGGGGGAGGGGCTCTTATTCCCCAGTCCAAATTTGATTTGATTTTTATTTTTCTAGGTAGTCTCTATGGAACAAACCCCACTGTTTGTAAGAATTTGTACTAATACCTAACGCAGAACTCCTTATTCAAAAATAGTTCAGAAAGTTAAAATAGTGAAAAATAGCTCAGAAAATTAAAGCAGCAGAGATGCCCCAAGGTGATTACCTAGCAGGCTGCTGGGGAGGCCATGACAGCCCCCAGCACTCTTGAACCCCAGTCAAGGAGTGTGTCCTTTTGGCTGAATTTCTAATCATGAGACCAAAAAAAGAGTGATGTCAGGGCTGTGTTGTCATCTGCAGTTTGAAATATCTGGGCAAGTCACGTTTTACTTGAGCTGGTTTGTGAAGCAAACTGGCTTTGTCAGCTGGCCAGCCTTGGCCACTGGGGAAGAGCACAGACTGTCTTTTGGGGGAGGGTGTTTAAAAACAAGATTTTTGCTTTAATTGCTATTTACACGTTCCACCCTTCGCCCTTTTTCAGCTGCAGGGAGATCTTGTTCTATTTTAAAAGCTCGGGCAGGAACTTGAGGCTAGAGACTGCAGCCAAATCAAACAGGAATCTCACCAACCCAATAGAGGGTTGGCTGATAATAAAGTCTATCCTCTCAAGCCTTTAAAGCTCTCTTATTCCAAAGACACTCCCTTATCTGAAGCCTCTGGCTTCCCCTGAGAGGGTATAAACATCTTCCTATGCAGCAGGGTACCCTTTGACATTAAGAGGAAAGCACAACTCAAGAAAAGTTGAAGAGGCTTTTATGTCTAATCTCAGTAAGCATTCAGAGGCTGTGAATGTCTTTTTATCCTGAGTTGTTGAGGTTTGTTTTGTTTTTTTGGCTGGGAGCACATTTTGCTTGGAGTTTTATTACATCCCTCATGACTTTTTTTTTCCCCCTTTTTCCAGCTGAGTTGTCAGTGCAGTACTTGTTTGGTCAAGGCTTGTGTGTTTACTTGGCATCTTCAGTGTATAAACCCAGTGCTGTTTGCAGGGCTTCCATGCAGCCAATTCTGCTAATATTTTAAGGCTCTGACTAATGTGGCTTGAGGTTAAATGTTTTCTGACTTTAACATTGTGCCTTGCTCACAGGAGCAAATTCTGATGACTTCCTTTCATTGGCAGAGGTTTCAACTTTGTCAATTCACTGCAATTGCTCATTAGAGGTTTTTTTAAAAGGTGTCAAAGATTTTTTTTTTTTTCATAGCTGTTGGGATCCCATCAATGAACAGCTCACAGAAAGCCCAGCTCACTTAATAGAAATGCATCCTCTGTGACTGCTGAAGACAAGACCCCTGTGCTCCCTTTGCAATAATAATCTCCTCTTCCAGGAGTGCTGCTCTCCAGGACCTCTTTACTGATCCTTGTTTCATGTCCATTCCCAGTCCTTGCATCCCAGTCACCCTTCTCCTGGTTAATGCAGAGCAAATGAGGTCTCACTCAGAGCCTGGTTTAAGTGGCCCCACTGCTGTCCTAAAGGATTTGTGAGGTTCTTTGTGCCAGCCCAGGACTTCTGCTTCTGCTGCCCTCCAGCCTGTCAGGCTGGGGAGACACTGGGATTGACCTTCTCCTCCCAGCAGCAGTGCCAAAGGCCGTTCTCTTCTGCTTGCTGGGAGCCAATTAGAGACACCATAAAGACATTTCAGTATAAGATTCACCCCTGTGATTTACCAGTTGCACTGTCTTTACTCAAAGACTGTCTCAAGCCTCCTCCTTCTATCCCATGGATAGAAAGGAGTGCCTCACATGGTCCCAGATGTACCCTTATATTCCAGCCACTTTCATTTCTTTCAAAAGGAAAACATCCCTTGAGGCTCATGGTGGGAACGTGTTTTTAGATAAAGAACATGTATCCAACCACTATAATTAACCTTCCATTTTAAAACCTCCAGTTCCAGATCAGCTCCCTACAGGCTAATTTTTCTGTTTGCAGGAATGCATGAGTGATGCACAGATGCTCTGTCAGGACACCTTACCTATTCATTAAGTTTGATTAGATAGCATTTGCACTCTGCCATCTAAGAGTGTGCCACTTTCTGATATAATTAGTGCTCCTCCAATTAGGATAAATGGCTGTTTCATTACTTTTAAGTGGATCATTAAAGTGCCATTCCTGTCTCCTGCCTCTGGAGCTGACAAGGGTACCTGCACACTCCTTTTTGCAAAGTCAAACCTAATTTCAGGAGGCTAATGGGGAAGGTAATGTACCAGGGCAGATGTTCCTCAGGGCTCCTGCTGAGAGCAGTTCCTGGGTAGCTGATTTTCATGTGTGCTTGAGACTCTGATTTGTGAAACAGAAGTGCCTGATTGCCAAGACAATTTTTGAAGAAGTTCCTGGAGGCATCAAAACCTGGAAATTATTTAAAATACATATTGATAAGCTTCTGTTGCTAAATGAATTCCTGTTATGGGTGTGGAACTGTATTATTGTCATGGGGAAAACACAGAGATTGTGCCTCATCAAGACCAGTCCTTGTATCTTTGTTTTCTCATCCCACATTCATCCACAAGGATGTCTTCTCTCCAGGGGTCATGCGATTTGCTTGGAACCTGGGTGTAGCAGCCCTTCGTGTTTTTCAAAGAGACCTTGTGATTCCTTAATCATTAGATACTGCTGTTTTAAAAGCACCATTTTCTGAGGACTACAGGGCAGATTTCTGGCCCATATCAGAGAACTGTGACTCACATCATGGGAAGGGATAGAGACATCTCTTTTGTAAGGGAGATTTGAATTGTGAGTCACCCTGCTGGTCCCTTTCTCTAATTTTTCCCTTTTTCGATGTGGAATTCATGGATTGTTGTGTATTTTAAAAATGCTTAAGCCAACATCTGCATAATCTTGACAATTTTGAATGCTGTAAGTCAGAAGATGGCCCAGCACTGAGATCATCTGATGTCTCCATCAGGATCTAATACTGTTTTCAAAATTTTTTCAAGAACTGCTAAAATTTTGGAAAACAAAGATTCTTCTTGCCACAGGATTAATCTACTAAAGATGTAGTAAAAATACATTTTTTAGAAAACTAAAATATCTGTGGAACTGCCTGGGTATCTTTCTGCTGATGAAGCTGGGTCAGATCTTAGGTTGCTTAAAATGTGAAAGGCCTGTTTGTGTTTCTCTGCACTTTTTGTTTTCGTCTACTTTTCTCTGATTTTCAAGCCCTTTTGTTATCTTCTGACTTGTGGCCTCTGGTTTTCTTTTTACCACAGCATAATTGTGTAAGTCTTATCCTCCCCAGTTTATCCAGCTTATGACCATCCACATATTTCTTAGGTTCACGTCTCAGATGACTCATGAAAGCCAAAACATCCATTCACCAGTCACCAATTTAGTGATTGCGTTTATTTCTCGTAAGTCTGGAAGGAAAAACCAGTCAAAGATGTTTTTCCCATCCTCCTCAAAGTCAGTGGGTACCAGGCAGGTGGGCCGCAACCTTTATCCCCTTCAATGACTTCTCAGTGGGTAGATTGAAACATGCAGAGCAGTCATAAAAGCCAAGAGGGAGCTGGGCAGGAGGGATTAGATCTTGAGGAATTTTATTTAATTAATCTTTCTGCTACAGTAATCACATCTCACTTCTCAGACTCTTACCCTTCTAGGTCATGTTTTCTCTATCAAACTGTGAAGTAACACACAGAATTATATAGCCTTCTAGGTATCTTTGATTTAAAATAAAAACATAAATAATTCTGAAGTGACATGAAAGTATAAATAGATGGGGTAAGAAAATATTTACTGCTGTGTAAACAGCTATCAGTCTGTCAGGGATGTATGCAGCTGCTGGATCTCGGTGGGAGGCAGCCTGAGCCTTCCACCTTGAGCCACTTGTGACAAAGGTTTGCATTGATCCCAGACACTACTTTGAAAACTGAGGCTCGATACATTTCTAGTCTTTGCAGGAAGTCAGAATAAACCCAGCAGCTCCTGTCTGCAATCTGTGCTGGTTTTGCTGTGGAGGGTGTTTTGGGGATGTGGCAGCTCTAAGTGAAGGTTCTGGCTCCAGACGCACATTCCAGAACCCGGCGGCATTTTGCAGCTCCACGTTCCAGTGACCGAGGCACCAAACACATTGGGGTAGATCATCAGGCATCACTAATGCACGTGTCCTGGAGCTCTCGAGACGAGGTCTGGCCTCAGGTTCATAGGTTCAGGCAGGATGTGCTGCTTTGTCATGCCAATGAAACAGTCAACAGGATATGGGGAGATCTCCAACCTCAATAAGGGCTACCAAAGGGTCACTGGAAGAAAAGCCGCTTCTTCTATAGGTGAAGTACGAGTGAATCCCTTCAGAGTGTCTCCTGCTGAGCTTTTCCTTCAAAGGGGTAAAAGCAAGGTCAGGGGGCAGTAAGTTATTGGGTTAAAAGCTCTGAGGCCATCTGGGAAGTCTACAGCATGGCAGTAGGAAAGGTGAGGCTTTGCTGAGAGAGCTGCTGTTGTGCCGTTGTTGGTGCAGGTCTGTTCAGTGAATCTCATTACCCATTGCTGTGTCTCATCAATGTGAAGCATGAGCTGGTTTCTGGATACATGTCCTGCTCCCATGGAAGAAATCTGAGAAATAATGTTTCTGAGAAATCAGAACAGCCCAACCATAATGGTCACTTGCAGCAACCTACTTTGTAAAATATTCTTTCTCCAGATATTCCCGATGGTCCCTAATTTATGGTGTCAGGCCTCTTTCCTAAGGGCTTGCAAATACTGAGTACATACAAACCTGAGGTGAGTCATGGATCCCTCCTAAATCTTGGACCCTGCAAGGAGCCCATGGAGAGTCACTTGAGTGGCAGAAATGATTGTTTACTAATAAGAGTGTCCCTGGTGCAGCTCTGTGAGGTCAGTCAGGGTGCAGGTGTCCCAGGCTGCCTGTTGGATGAGAAGGATAAAGGCTGTAGAGTGCCACTGCTGCCTCCTCACCACAGTATCAGCAGGATGAATCTCTGGTGCCTCTGGCAGCTCCCAAGTATGTTTGAGCTCTGTAGAAAACTGCATTTATTTGTTATTCCTCAGGCTTGATACAACTGGGCAGTCCTTTTATCTCCCAGTGATTTTAGGGCTGTAACACACATGTCAGCCTAGTGGAGTTGTGCAGAGGGGGTGTCAGGCTTTGTAGCTGTGTGCCCTGTAATGCTGTAACGTGAACAATGTTCTGTCCCTTCAGCTACCTCCAAACTGTGTTATAACCCATCCTCAGGCAGGACAAGCTTTCCTGTGTGCCCTTCCTCCTTGCAGGGCACGGATGTGTCCCCTGCATGTGCACTGTGGTTGGCCACCTGCAGCCTGGTCTGCCTCTCTCTTCGGGGTCAGGCTCTGGGCTGACTGGGTCAGTCTTCCCCAAATCATTTACTACAGCACTCTTTAGCATTTTATAGGCTTCCCTCCTTATTGCTCAGCTTGCAGGTAGCTTATTCCTCCCTCACGAGGTGAACGCTCCATGTTCTGACGGCACACGTGGCCTGGTGTGGAAACAGTCACGGTGCCAAATCCTCTAAATATTGTAAAATTCCAAGACCCAGTCCAGGTCTCCTAAAATAGCATGTCTGAGCAAACTTCCTGGGGCTTTTTAAACAGCCTTCTGATGTGTGTGCTGGGGTACAAATGGAACTGCAGATTTCTGAAGTGTCAAGGGGCGAATGTGTGTGTACCCAAATGAGGATATTATGAATGAGTCTCTTCAGAGAAGAACACTGCTGAAAAGGACACTGTTAGCAAAAACAACCACAGAAGTATGAGCAAATACTCGAAAGGAAGAACACCCAGGGGGAGTGGGTTCCCACTTTCTAGTGAACTACATTATTTTCTTTTCAGAATTCATGCTAAATAGGAAAGATTTTCCAGTTTTACCAAAAAACCCTGAAGTAACGTCTGTCCTTACTGTAAGTTCTTCTGGGTGTGAAGACAAGTCCCAGTGTACTTCCATGGACATAGCATAAGCCTATGGATTTGTCTCTTAAGAGGAGTTCAGTTGAAAAAGGCTAAGCTCTTCTCTGTCTTCTGTGTTTACATTGCTTCATTAGTATGTTTTTTAATTGCCTCTCAGTTTTAATGTATTTTCAATGTATTACAGCACCCCAATCATACACGGCTTGTGCTGTCTTCTCACAAAAAAGAAGAAAAAGTGAGGCATGAAGAGGGTGATTTGCACAAGATTCTTTAAAAGTTGAATTTGTCTCCATTATTTCAGGTTATTTGCCTCTCATGCCTTTCTTTGTCTTCCATTTGGTCATCCACAATGTGAACAGAAAGTGAGCTGACAGGGACAGTGCCCTCTGTAGTAGTGCAGCTCCACTTTCTTCACACTGAAAACTTCTGTTGGCTTCAGATAAAACTTTCCTGCAGCTGTTGCTGGTAGTAAGAGCCCTGCTTCTCTGGGCTCTTCAGCTCTTTCAAATCAGACTAAAGATATTTCCTAACCTCTGTCTTGAGTGATTTGTTTCCATATTCAGTGAGGAGAATTGCACAAAAATGGAAAACAGGGCAGAAAATTGCATGGGCTTTTCTAAAGCATGTCTCAAGTTTAGGAACAAAAAAGAAGAAATTCCCGCTTTATTTGAATTAATCAAGCTCTGTCATTCCCAGCTTGTGTCTGTTCTCCATCAAGTCACATTCCAAAATTGCTCCTGATAAAGAATTGTAAAGACAAAACTGAGTGAAATACCACTGGCTTTGTACTAACCAACAGCCTACATTTTTCTTCTTGCTGGATGTGTCCCTGTAGAGTATCAAGGGATTTGGCAAAGGTGAAGTGTGTTCTGGATTTCTCTTTCTTCCACCCCAGCCCATATTTTCCCTCATGCCACGAGGTCTGCCAAGCACTGGCTCCTACAGCTGAAGACTGAGCTGGCATCTTTATGATGGTCTTACCTCTGGCAGCAAAAGTGCAGCCCAGGCTTCAGAGACATGAGGAAGGGCTGTGATTGATCTGTGGCTTTTCCCTGAAGCCTGGGTAGTGAGTATGGTGGACATAAGTGGGTAAATGGTTTGCAGATCCTTCATAACTTGTATTTAATCACACAGACATTCATGGTACTTGTCAGCTGCTCTCAGTCCTCCCCTGCAGCACAGAATTGGCTTTTCCTGGGTGCCTGCAAATCTATTTATAACAAAAGATGGTGCAGGGATGTCTGACAGTACGGAACAAGGGAGGTTACAAAAGGGAGTTTCAAAGCAGTTGAAGTTTGAAATTAAGGAAGCTGATACTGCAAGTTGCAAGGTTGCTTCCAACACACAGTTGGAATGCAGCTTGGAGGCTGCTCTCCCCAGAAAAAGCGAGAAATTCAAGGCCTGCTCTTTGGGAGTGTTGAATGTTTATGTCAGGAGGGCTGCAGGTGCTACCACTCTTACACGAAGTAAGTGATTCACCCTGGCATTTCTCACCATCCCAAAGGGAAAGCTGGGTGTATGGGTTTTCCTCTCTGATGAGTTAAAGTGAATAAATTCCAGAACACCAGATGTTTGCATAAAAGGAAGTTATAGTTAGGATAGTTGTGTTCATTTCTCATACTCTCTACAATTTCTTGTTTCACCCTTTTTTTTTTCCTTATTTACATTAAATTCTTAGGTGTCATTGTTTTGAAGCAATATATCCAAATGGCCCATTCCAAAGATTTTTCATGATCACTCATGAATTTTAAGTGTCTGAGAGTTCTCAAAATTGAGTTCATGCACTTCAAATTATCTTGCCTTCTCCCCGTTCTCCCTACTCCTTTGCTCATAGGTCATACTCATTCCCATAGGTTCATCTTAATGAGGACAATGTCCTTATGGGGTCACATGTTTTTCATGGGTTTTCCTACCATTCCGAATTTGCAGGCCCTTGTCAGCAGTACCAGACCATGTGGGTACCTGAGAAGTGTTAGCAACTCCCAGTGAAACGCCCAGTGGATTCTTGCTGCCATCCTGAGTAGGGTCAGATCAAGCTGGTGACACGGGATCAGACTCTTCAGCTGCCTTCTGCTCCCTGTAAAACCCGTTCTGACCCACATGGGAGACAGGTAGCCATTAAGTGGAGGCCTTACACTGTTAATTAGTTCTGCTGATAAACAGAAGACTTTAGTTTGAAGGTAATAAAAATGCCCATTGTAAAACTCCTACTAAACCAAGCAAACAGACCTAAGAGCTTTGACAAACCCGAGCTCTCTTCCCAGTGGTGCCAGTGCCCAAAGGTACATAACCTGATTCTCTCTGCCTCGATTCCTCCATCTTTAGAGGAGATAAAGACATGCATTCATCTTCATAAAACACTTCTAGGTTTACCACTACAAATTCCCACATGTGCCAAATATGTGTTTTGATGCTGTACCTGATCTCAATGCTGAAATTACATTGCCAATCCAATTTTTAGGAACAGCATCAACAGACCTTGTGACTTGAATTACCTTGCTTTACACAGCAGCATGAACAGCCTGGTAGGTATAATCCTGACTCAACACTCTCCCCCAAAACTGCAAATCTGATATCTCAGACTGTTGGTTTGCATGAGGATTTTCCATTTGCTCCACTCCTGTCTGTCACTGCCCTCCACGCAGGCTTGAAGAAGCCTGATTTCTTACACTGTGGAATCTTGTATGTGGTGATCAACCCAGTGCAATTACTGCTCATAAATCCAGTATTGCAAGAGGCTGCTGAACTGGTAAAAATACTCTAAACAGCTTTTGGGACACACTAAATAAAGAGTGAAGCTTTCTTTGATACTTACTGATGTTTACATACCATGTAATTATTATTATCGTTGAAAATCCCAACTTCCTCTCTTTGAACATAATGTCTAAACAGGAAAAAGCTAACCTTCCTGTTTGGAGAATTGCTAGTTTCAGAAGAAATATATTTTTTTCCTCTGTTGCTTGCAGTTCTCAAAGATTTTATTTTTAATACAAATGAAAATGACAAACAATAGACTATCTAAGAGGAAGGAAAGCCACATGTCTGAAACAAACAGAGTCTGCTATGAATAGATAATCTTTGCACTATAAAATAACTCATGTCATACCTACATTTTGACTTTTGCATATTGGGAAAGGAAATGTAGACTTATTTTTGGCACTCACTGCACTGTATATACACAATACAAAAAGCAAAGTTAAGGTTTGAGAGGGAAGAGAAGCCTCCTGTCAATCTGTACAGAGAGGAGGAATCATGTAGGCAGTTGGCCTGGTAATTCTAGTAATTTCTAGATGTGATGCAAGGCTGAATTTAAAACTCCAAGTACCTGCTTGGCATACGGTGTTCCCTGGTTCAAGTTAGTGCTGACGTTGCCTTTTGGGTAAAACTCACCTCCTAAACTTTGCTTTTGCTGCTTTAATTTAGTTAAAGAAATACTGGTGGAGCAGCACCTGCAGCTCTGTTCCAGGTGTGTGAGGAATTTTTGATGGCTGCCAGGAGCAGCAGAGTGAGACTGAAGACCGAGACATTCAGCTCATCTTTGGGAGGCAGAAATCAGGAAACAGGTAGCTGAAAGCTGAGTGTGAAGAAGTGCTCGTACCAAAGGCAGAATGAGCTGTTTGGCATTCCAAAAGTGTTTCCTACCTTCCCAGAGTCTGACAGGCAGCCTAATGGAATAACCACCAGGAGCGGCCTTGTGAGGACTGCTGATGGCAATTTGTCAGTATGGGAAGTGTTCATATTGTCATTTCTCCTTCATGTTATTTCATCTCATCACAAGGCTGTACTCTTGCTGCTCCTATTTAACAGCAACTACTGAAACATCTTGCATAAATGGAAGAGGATATGTGTGATGTAAGATCACTGCCCACAGAGGACTGGGAAGCTGGAAAGGCCTGTCTTTTTTCCATCATCTTCCTAAAATTCTTTATTCCAGGCCTGACTAACTTAGGTGTTTTTCACAGCTAAGAAGAAATCCTGAAATACTCGGGCAATTTCTTGGCTCCTGTATTTACAGACTGTATGAATATCTACCATCTTTTGATCATGTGGAAGGTGTGAAAATGTAGTCTTATAGGGCCAAATACCAGACATTTATAATTGTTTTCTATTCCTTGGGTTTTTTTTTACACCAATCTCTGACTTTGGAAGCCTTATTTTACAGAACTGCCTGCTTACTGTTGGCAGTACTGTGTGAGTGTAAAGAAACCCTGCCAATATTTTCTCAGGCTATTTCCAGGTAGATTTTCTTACTACATTAGGGCATTATGCTTGCTCATGTTTGTAGAGTCAGACCCTAAAGACATATCTTGTTCCTTGTCTGTCTTTGCTTGCTCCATGTCTGCGCTTCTCATGGAACCCAACCCAACTTCCCAACTTTATGCAAATCCAGAGATTCACATGTGAAACTTCAACAACCACATGCTCAGCTGTGTCCTGCTCTCCATCTGCATTTTCCCAGGCATGGGCCTTGCTTTGTGATTTAACTGGACTGCAGCTCCAGCAAGAGGAGAACATGTTAAAGCCGTTGTAAAATAATGGGCACCGCATGAAATTGAGAGAGTGGGGTCCAACGATCTGAAATGCAGATGGTCACTGGCAGGGAGAAGGAGAGCTGTCATGCTGAAAAAAGGCCCACAAGTCAGCAAACGAGCTGAGTTAATGATGTGACACAAGAAAATTGAAGGCAGAGTGTTTCTGGGCAATGTGTGTAGGAGTGGCCCTCTTGAGACTGAGCTCTTGGTAGTCTTATCTGTGCTTGTGCTCTCCCGGCAGGTGTTGGGGTGGGAGCAGTGCTGGACACTGTCAGTAGTTAGATCACCTTGTTAATTAACAACAGGATACTGTTGGTTTCCCTAACAACATGATAGGGATTAACAAGTATAATTGGACTTCACTGAGAATACTGTGCATGTCAGATGGGAGGGGATACCTGATTTCACTGTGTGGGAAATAATAATAATAATGATAATGATAATAATGATAATGATAATGATGATGATGATGATGATGATGATGATGATGATAATAATAATAATAATAATAATAATAATAATAATAATAATAATGATGTTGTGAAATAATATGTGGCCATACAATTGTTTGCTTCTGTTAGTCTCCACAGGGACATCTGTGTAGAATCTGGATTCTGGTCCTGAGTGCTTGGATTTCAAGGAGGAGCCCTTGCAATCCTTGGACTCTGTGAGGCTGGATAGATGTCACTGTTGAACAGCACGACCCATTTGACCAGTTAGTGTTTATAATATATGTTGCAATGGTAGGACTGGGCTTTTCTATTTAATTTCTGAGCTGATACTGTGGGGCACTGAGTCACTGTCCTTCCCTGTGCTGCTACTGTGAACACATTTACCAGCTTCCCCCTGAATAGCTTGCTTTAGAGCCAGTGCCACACTTCATACCTTATTCTGGACCCTCTCCAACAAGTTAATGTTTTTTTACTGAGGAAGGTGAGTAAAAATGATGAGAGTATCCTTAACTAAGGAGCCATAAAATTCTGATAGAGCAGTAATGTTCCCAGTGAGCCTGAAGGAAATCTGATCAATAGTTATGAGGTTGAGGCTCAATTTATGGTCTGAATTGATCAAGCATAGTCATTCTCCACTTTTGTACAGGATGCTTTTGTGGTTCCTGCTGAGCAGAGGAGTATAAAGTCAGCACAAGTCCTTTCTCAACAATTCCCCAGGCTTTGTCATTTAAGATAGCTGACTCTACAGAGGTGGTGATCAGGGCCATGTGATCTATTTGAAGGCAATTTTTCATCATATAGGACAGGCTGTACCAGCTGCATGTGTTCTGAGAGTCTCAGGCTTGGAATGGCTTCACAAAGAGTAAAAAATAAAGTTATTTTGGATCTCTTTAAAATTTGACACTGCAGTTGTTCATTTGCCTGCAACCACTCGAGTCAGGAAGGATTCAGTACCATGTTCTCCAAAAATCCTTTTGCTGCTTTTTGTAGACCCCTTGTAATAGAATTTTCAAGACGGAGGCTGGACTAATTCTTCATTTCTAAGTTGCCTTAGAAGTGGCAGAAGTTTTTCCATCCTCTTCCAGCACAGGTGCTGTCTCTTTAAGTTTTGAAATTGGTTTTTAAGGATAGAGGCAGACAATGAAATTTCATCCAAGGGTTTTATTAAAACCTCCATGTAAAAAGTCAGACCTTTCCAAAGCCTGAAGTAAATGCAAACCTTATGTAGCCACCTCCCACCAGTGGCATAAGCATGAAATAGACAGAAGCTTTTCAGATGAAATGGAAAAGCCTTGGTTTAAGCCATCTCCTCTATCTACTTGTCATTCCTGCATACACAAGTTATCAGGAGAAATTTTTAAGCATCTGAAGTGACAGGAGTATTTTGTAAATATACAGTAAGGTCCTAAGCAGAGAGGGCTCTAAAACTTGACCAAAAATATCTTGTGATACTCATTAAAATATAATTTCTTAAGGGTGCTTTTAAATGCCCAACTCTTATACCATGCACAGATCCCTAGACTAAGCACCTGGACCTGCAGATGATCTTTGCTGTACAGATTCATTCCTGCTTTGGCTATCTGCCAGTGGGTTTTATTTGAAATACTCCCTGGTACAGCCTCTGCATTTAAAGGATGCCCATAAATATCTGCACTGGTTGACGGGGCAAAAGGAGAAAGAGTTGGACATTTTTAGAGAAATATAAGAAATGCAGGGAGCTGAAATGCCCGTGGTGGCTTTTCTGACGGCTCACGGGGGGCTCTGGGGAGCCAGGGCTGCTGGTGCTTTCCCAGCCCTGTCCTTGCAGCAGGGCTTTCCCCTCCTGCCAGCAGCTGCAGCGGCCCTGGAGGGCTCAGGAAAGCCGGGCTCTTACCTGAGCCAACAGCGACACCCGGGGCTCCACCAGCACAGTCAATCCCTTCTTTCATTGCAGCCCCGTGCCCCGTGCTGCCTGGAAAACATCCCAAGGTTTAGCTCTTTTTGCCTTCCCGAATGACTACACTTATTGAGAATGAAGAGATATTTTGCTGTAGTAATTTTATCAATAGAAATCGTCTACACTGTGCTGAGAGTAAATTAGATCAGCCACAGGCACATCTATATTCCAGCAACTACATTCACACAAAGTGGATTACACTCTTTCATCTCTATCAAAACAGTTAAGATGATGTTATTTGTTTGCAGCTAAGGTCGAGGCAGACAACTTATAAAACCTCCCATTCCTGCCTCCTCACTACTGCAAAAAATCTCACTGAGACCACACTGAGATTATTTCAGTAAGCTTTTGTTGAGTAAATGCACAGAGGTGAACAGTGCACTCAAGGAGTCTGTCACGATCAAAATAATAGGTGCAGGCTCTGTAACAGTGAACACTGAGTCAGACTTTTATTAAAATGACCCCAAACAACCCCTTGAAGACATACCTGAGCAGACAGTGGTAAAATAACTAGAGAAGCAAGAGAGAGGCAAGCATTAATGTCTCTAGAAAAAACATTTCAACAGAAGCAAGATAACACCTTAGAACTGATGAGCACACAGGATGTGCCGAGGACAA